TCTTTTTATTACTTTCATCAGTTATATTAGTTGGTCTAAATTTGATATAACTTTTCAACTATACAACTCCATCCCTTGCGAGTTAGAAATTCTATGAACTTAAGATTTCTAAACGGTTAACATTTCAATAGTTACTTTTCAAGTTTAAAATTTAAGACAATTGTAACCACGGTACGAGCACCGTCGAACCACAGCCCCGACCATGATGGAATGTGCACGTTGGCACCCCTGATTGGTTAGGTTAGGTACTAATACAATTACTACTCGTGTGGAAATAACCGCAAGTCGGGTAATTGGTGTGTAAATACAATAATACCCTACTAAAGTTTTAATCATTTTGTATTATGATATTTGTAAAAGCGTTTGATGTTTTTTTTTTGTTATCAGGAATTTATACTCATGTAGCGGGCGACTTCGAAGGCGACCACGCAGTCAAACTTATCGGTTGGGGAGCGGACAAGGGTCATAAGTATTGGTTGTGTATCAATTCGTTCGGTGTCCTCTGGGGAGAAAACGGAACTTTCCGAGTGCTCAGAGGCGGCAGTGATAACACACAATTCGGTTACGCTATTATTTCGCCGTTCGTTTCACAAGCAGATCACCACAGAATCGACTACATGGTTTTGTTGTTTTGTTTGTATTCGACCACACTACTGCTGCTTTACGGCGACGAAACTATGTTTTAACATTGAATCTTGTAATAGTTTTTGAAATGAATATATTTTTGTCTAAGATAAATCGTGCAAAACCAAAAGATACACGCCACGAGTAAGGTCGAGTATTTATCGGATAACCGATAAATTATACCCGAAATTGATCAACAACCCGAAAAAGCTATAAAACGGTTTAGTGTTGATATATATTCATTTGCATTGAACACTATGGTCTTGTTAAACAATTTTATTAAAATGTCACATACGACTAAAGTAAATTTCTTGTAATGAAAACACTAAATAGAATTCATTTTTAATAATTCGTTTATTTATATTTAATTGTTTAATTTATAAGACATTTCAATTTAATTTTCTCAACAAATTAGCGCTTTTTAACTATTTTTTTTAAAATTGAAAATTATTAATCTTTTACCTCTTATTATAATTTATAGTTACTTAGTATTTACCATCAAATTTAATTGTCACATGTGACAATATGTTTGTTGTATAGAAATCATCTAACCTGTGATAATATAGTAGGTTATCATTTAAATCGTATGATTGATAAGGAGTTTGTACAATAATATTGTAAAATATCTGCACAACAATTTATATTAATTCATGAGGCCACATTACTCAGCCTGATTGCGCAGCCCTTATCAGTCGTTTTAAAAATTCTTTTGTTCTCGGCCGAGTGAGCTCATAGAGTAATATAGAGGGACCGTTGTTTTCATAAATTGAAGCCGGAACTTCGACTCCTTTTTCAGATATATCATTTTATAAAAATCAAATATTGTACTGTTAGGTTCATAGGTACCAACCTACGAAATACAGATAAAATATTATTTATCATTATTGACTAGTAGCTGGCTGGCGACCGGGTAGGTCACAGATTCCGAGGGGGTGCCCGGCTACGGCGTTGGGCACTAATCACTATTGCTTAAGTAAGAACTGATAAGCGTCGTCCACCTAAGCTAGATTGTTAGAAAAGAAACAGATCTGCTAAAGAAGCGAGTGCCCAGTGCTGCTTAACGACTAAAGTAAAAAGATGGTTTAAATTAAATTTGAAAGTCTAGAGGTTATCAGCATAATCATTAAATATGTGGTTTAACAGAAGTTCAAGTATTTAAGAACTCAAGCGTAAAAAACATGAATGAAATGTCTAGAGGTCATCTGTTTATAGTAAAACTGAAAAGGGAAAGAAGTGAAGAGTGATAAAAACATTATTTGGATTTTTGTTTGACTATTTGACGACAGTGCTTATAAAAACGTCCAAAGAGAGGTTAAATAAAATGTCTCGATGCAAACCTTTTAAGTTTTTAGATCTGGAGAGTTACATAATAATAATAATAATATTCAGTGCATCAAATGAAATACCTATATTATTTTATACTTATCCAGTGAAATATTTTATATATTTATTAATCCATAAATAGATATTTTGTTATTTGAATGATATGTTGAAAATCAAGTATCTAGTGTTGCTTACTTCACGGGCTTGGTAAGTAGTGGTATAAAACAGAAAGAAATGTTTAGAGGTCAGACAGCTAAATGTGTGGTATGGTGTTTTGCGAAACAAAACTTGTTTAAGTGTAGTACCTATACTATATATATATATATGTCTAGATATTGGTCATTAGAATCGTAATCTGTTGAGAAATCATATCTATGTCAGTATTTGGTATTAAGATTTTGGTACAAAAATAATAGTCATTATCAGCGTCGGCGACAACGACAGGACACCGTAATCGTTTACTGCAGCGGTTCCCAAACTTGTTTGGTTCACGCATCCCTAAAATAAAATAAAATAATCGCGCCTCCCATGAATAAATTAATTTGTTATTACTCGTACTAATATGTTATCTTTTTGAAATTATCGTTGATCTAAATATATCAATATTTAGCTCGCGCCTCCCCTGTGTGCTTGGGCCTCCCTAGGGAAGCGCACCTCATAGTTTGGGAACCGCTGGTTTACTGGAATGATCTGTTATTAATTATTTCAACCTGCTAAAAAAGTCAAAACAAAATATCCAAAAATACCATTGTATTATTGTAAAGTAGAGATTCCAACGAAAAAAACCACAGTGATCTTTATAACCGAGATAAAAATTGGCACGTATATATACAATTATATTGTGACATTTATCGACTACGCGTCGACCTCAACGTGTCAAATTTTTTTATTTGTATTTTGGACTCCTTACATCGCCGTTCACGGAACAATATTAAAACGTATTGATTCAAAGCCAGTAAGTATTTTTACTACTTTTTCTATTTAATAATTGTAGTTTTGTTATTAGAATAATATCATAATTTATTTATTTTTTGTTTGGTTTTTTATTTTGTGAAAAATCTTTTTTAAAAACATGCTTTTCTAAAAAAAAATTATTAAAATAGTAAATTGTGAACTAAAATGTAAAAATATTTTTATTACAAGAACCATTTACCAATCAATTGTAGCATAAATAAAATATGCGAATTCTAAAAAAAAATTAAAAAAAAAAAATTAAAAAAGACTTTTTTAAAAACATGCTTTTCTACAAAAAATAGTAAAATAGTAAAAAGTGAATTCACTTTACAATTAGGAAGTAAAAAAAAATGTATTACAAGAACCATTTACCAATCAATTATAGCATATTTTATTTACAATTTCAATTACTTTGAAAACAACCGAAAATAACTACAATTTTAAATAATCTTATTATTTATATTTTTATTTAAAATTGTAGTTAATTTTCGGTTGTTTTCAAAGTAATTGAAATTGTAAATAAAATATGCTATAATTGATTGGTAAATGGTTCTTGTAATACATTTTTTTTTACTTTCTAGTTCACTTTTTACTATTTTACTATTTTTTGTAGAAAAGCATGTTTTTAAAAAAGTTTTTTTTTATTAATTTTTTTAATTTTTTTTAGAATTTATTCGCTGACGATTCATGTACAAAAATGAAACGAGTTCAAAAGCAATTGAACATTACAGCATTTACCCAAAACAAAAAAAATAAAACAGACAATTCTGCTTCTGAAAATGTAGAACTACCCTCAGTTAGCAATAATGATACTCCTTCTATTTCCAATAATACACCCACAGCCGGAGTAAATGATATTGGTAATTATGTGCATAATAAAGAAATAGACGATTTAAAAAAAGAAGAACTTTTAAAGAACCCATGGGTACCCCATTCGACTTATATATTTCCTGTAAAAACCAAAAGAAATTTACGGTTTCAATTATCTTGGATAAAACGATTTTCATGGCTAAGTTATTCACAAATTTTTGAAGGAGCATTTTGTACACCATGCGTTTTGTTTGCTCGAGAAAAAGGAGGTAAAGGTGGCCATCAACAATTAGGTGCTCTTGTTTCTAAAGAGTATGATAATTGGAAAAATGCTTTGCAAGATTTTCAATTACATGCTAGTACATCATATCATAAATTGTGTGTTGAAAAATCTGATAGTTTTTTAAAAGTAAATGAAGGAAGATGTAAAAAAATAATTGAACAACTGAGTATTGAACATTCTAGACAGATTGAACAAAATAGAAACATTTTACTTTCTGTTATAAAAACAATAATTCTTTGTAGTAAGCAAGAAATTGCTCTTCGTGGAACAAACGATTTTGGAAGTGTAATGAACGTAAATTCTTTTAATGACGGAAATTTCCGAGCACTTTTACGGTTTCGTGTAGATTCGGGTGATATTTTGCTAAAAGAACATTTAAACAATGGTCCAAAAAATTCTTTATATACGAGTCCTGGTATTCAAAATGAGATAATTTCTATTTGTGGTGACATTATCAAGTCAAAAATTGTCCAAAGAGTCAATGCTGCTGAGTGCTTTTCTGTGTTAGCGGACGAAACTACAGATATTGGAAGGATTGAGCAAATGTCTGTATGTTTGCGTTATTATGACCAAGTTGATAAAAAAATTCGTGAAGACTTTCTAGAATTCACACCTGCTGTTGATCTAACAGGAAAAGGACTAGCAACCTTAATATTGGGCAGTTTGCAAAAAAACAGCATTAGTTGTCAGTTTTTAGTTGGTCAAGGCTACGATGGTGCCTCTGCTATGAGTGGTCATTTACATGGTGCTCAAGAATACATAAGAAAAGACTTCCCCATGGCTCTCTATGTACACTGCAGTGCTCACTCACTCAATCTTGCGTTGGCAAACGCCAGCTCATTGCCCTCAATAAAAAATTGTATTGGCACCATTCAAACTGTTGGAATATTTTTTCGGTCTTCAGCTCAACGCAGTGAAGTATTGAGAACAACTATTATCGAAACTTTTCCAGACACAAGACATAGCACATTAGTGGCATTATGTGAAACACGCTGGGCTTACAAGCATGAAAGTGTCATGCGGTTCAAAGAACTATATCCAGCCATTTGTTGCATTAGAAAAGTTGGAGTCTTCAATAAATAAAGAAACTGCTCAAAAGTCTTGTCAATTATTAAGTGCAATTAATGACGCTAAATTTGTTATACCTCTCATAATAATTGAAAATATTTTTTCCTATACGTTGACGTTGTGTAAACAGTTACAGACAGTTAATGCTGATTTAGTCGAAGCATGTAACCATGTAGATAGTGTACTAGGAGTTTTAGACGAAATGAGAGAAAATAACAAAAAACATTTTTCAGATATGTTTTCTGTTGCTGCCATAATGTTGAACAAAAATAAAGAAGAAATTGATTTGCCTCGTTTTGCTAATAAACAAACACACCGTAGTAATGTGCCCACTAATAGCTCTGAAGAGTATTACAAACTTAATATTTTTTTGCCATTTCTTGACCATATAAGAACACAGCTTTCTGATAGATTTCAGAAACACAAATCTTTAATAAGTTCATTACAACAAATTATTCCCAGTAAATGTATACATGCCACTAATGAAGAAATAAACGACTGTGTACAGTTTTATTCCCAGATTTTGACAGAGCCTTCTACTTTCAAATCTGAATTTTCAATATGGAAATCAAAGTGGCTTAAAGAAGAGTCACGCCCTAATACAGCAACTACAGGACTTGACAATTGTAACATTCTTTTATTTCCAAACATATGGAAACTTTTACAAGTCTTAGCTACAATACCTATGTTAACTGCGACGCCAGAAAGAACGTTTTCATCTTTAAAAAGATTGAAAACGTATCTTAGAAATTCAACTGGTGAAACTCGCCTCAACGGATTAGCTTTAATGTCAGTTCACAGGGAAATAAATATTGATCCAAAAGAGGTGCAAAATCATCAAGGAAAATGATGTTGTTTTAAATAATATATATATATATATATATATATGTGTGTGTGTGTGTGTGTGTGTATGTGTATAAATATATATAAAATATTTATATATATATATATATATATATATATATTGATGTGGTTCTATTTAATTAAAATCCTAAGTATTATTTACTAGTTTTACCTAAAAATAAAACCCCTCCCAAAAATGAGTGCTGGATACGGCCATGTTACTAGTGCATCCAATTAGATAGCCACACCTTGTGTCAAATTGTTTAATAACACAAAGGATTTAGGGTTACAATATTATCACAAATACAATATGTACTGTCGTTTGTTATAATAATCTCTACAGATTTGTCCTAAAGACTTAGTAACTGTTAAACATCCTAATATGGACCTTTATTATCTATGTATTACCATTGATTATGTAATAGACAGATAGGCCATACAATGTTAATATTTGGCGACTAGCCGTGTGATGCAACCGTTATGGAGCGTTAGTGTAGCCGGGATGCAAGGTGGTGGTGCCTCCGCCATAGGTTGATGAGCGGTGTAGAAGGGTGCCGGGATGCAAGGTGGTGGTACCTCTGCCGTAGGTCGATGGGCGATGAGGAGAGGGGGAGAAATAGCTAATCATGCCGTCTATAGCTGACTGTTGTCGCTGTTCTAATAATAGAATGTTTATTCCAAAAAATTCAATGCATTTTTATTAAATTATCTTTGACTATCATCCGGTCATCATTTTGTAATGGTTAACATTTTTTGACACGTTTTTGACATACGTGTACATTATAATTTTTAATATTATTTTTATTTGTATTATTTTACTTTTGCGCTTACGACTTTTCAAAATATGGCCGGTAATAAGTGTCAATATTTGAATTGTGGGAAATCGAAAAAATATTTTCCAGATTTAAGATTGTACCGTATTCCAAAAGACGACAGAAGAGAAATTTGGATAATACATTCGGGTTAGTAAATTAAAAAAGTTGTAAATAACAGTAATAAATTTATAATATTTAAGAACAATCAACAATAGCAGTAAGATAGCCTTTTTTTACATCATTATTATTATTATTTATTTATTGACATTGAAAAGCTCATTTATTCATTACCCGAGTTGGATACATTTATAAAAGTGAAAACATCTTATAATGATATTATATAGAATGTGATAAATTATTATACATTTTAAAATTTATAATTTTTAAACAGTAAGGTGTTTATTACTTCTTTTGTTTGTTTCTAACTAAGATGGTTTAATAAAATATAGTTATTTTTATTGACTTTTTTTTAATTTGTTTGTAGGAAACACAAGTTTATTTTCAATTGAACCAGAAAAACTGCACAATAGGTACATTTGTCAAGAACATTTCCCCCCTAAAAGCTTTATAAATGTTTTTAGTAAACATAGATTAATAAGTACTGCTGTTCCATATAAATACAAATCAGAAGAACAGCCTTCTACTTCATCAGGCTCTCATAATGACATATCTGAACAGTCAGATTTTGTAATGTCAACTCCAACTAAAACATATACTCATAAAAAATCTGAAATGGTAGAATTAGTTTTTCCAAGCCCCCCATCGTTTTCTACTCCCCAAAAAACTAAAATAACAAATATTATAGAAATGCCCAGCCCAAATTTAAAATGAAAATCTAATTTATTTGAAACAGATACACCTAGAAAATTAAATTTAAAACAAAAATTAAAACAAAATAATTCATAATAAAATAACTCACATTTCAAAATTAAAAAATAGAGTCAGTAGTTTAAACACACGCAATAATTTAAAAAACGTAGTAAATATGCATAACTTTTCTTCAAAAAATTCCAAGGCAATAGTCACAATGCAACTAAAAGATAAGCGTCGTCCATGGACATTAAATGAAAAAAATTTAGCGTTAAACCTATATTATAAATCACCAGCAGCATATAAATTTTTACGTTCACAAAAAGTTAATTTGCCAGGACCATCAACAATTCGTCGTTGGATTGGCCAATCAAAATTTTTACCAGGTTTTAGTAAATTATTTTTTAGTCATCTTCAAAAAAAATTCGAGTCATCCCGATTACAAAGAAAAAGCATGCACTGTTTGTTTTGATGAGATGTATATAAAAGAATTTTTAGAATATTCTAAAGATTTTGACTTCATTGAAGGTTTTGAGGATTTAGGTCATTATGGGAGAACCGAAAAAAGTGCTAACTGTGTTTTGGTATTTATGGCTCGAGGTCTTTATTCGCCGTGGAAATTTCCAATTGCATATTTTCTCGTTCATTCTGGAGTTGACAAATGTATGTTAAAAAATTTAATTATTGATGTCCTTAAAAAATTATTCGAGGTTTGAAAGTTGTTTGAAATCTTTAAATATTTCAGAAGAAAGACCCTTTTTTTTTGTCAATAACAATAAAATATTTTCTATATTTGACGTTCCACATTTATTGAAAAGCATAAGAAACAATTTAATTGGGGCCTGTTATATAAAAGGCGATAATATGATTTCATTTGATGATATAAAAAAAACATACGAGTTAGACAAAGTAAATAATAAGAGTAGGTCTCTCATCAAAATAACAGATGCACATATTTACCCAAATTCTTTTCAGAAAATGCGCGTTAAATTAGCCGCGCAATTATTTAGTAATTCTATGTCAGCAACAATCCGAACCTGTATACAAACGGGACAACTTAAAAGTAATACTTCTACAAATACTGCAGATTTTATTGAATTTATCAATAATTTATTTGATTGTCTTAATAGCAGGTCTTTGTATAGTAATAATCCCTATCGTTGTGCATTAACTAATTCAGGAGCTGTAAAAAACTTTTTAATAGAAGCTTCGCAATATTTCAACAGCTAGAACAATTAGGACTTCAATAAGAAGTAATTGTATTTTTTCCTTATGCACATCTAAAGGAACAAATTGTGAGGCAACTCAAGAAGATGACAATCCCGTATTAATTGACCCAGTAAACCCACAAAAAAAAAATTAATTCTAAAAGTTCAACGATATCTCCTGATTCTGACACAGAATATATTTTTAATACATCTTTCTCTTCTTCTATGTCGACTGACGAAGACTCTATTAAAAACGTAAATATAGTGAATGATGTTACTTTGGAGGATTGTTCTGTTACATACTTTGCAGGATATTTGGGCCATAAATGTATGAAAAAATTTAATTGTAATAACTGTAAAAATGAATTATTCACAGATAAAAATTTAAATGATAAAAAACAATTACTATTACTTAATAAAAATTATACTCAAATTGATAATGAAAGTGGACTTAAAGCACCATCAAATACATTTAATAACGTGATTAATAAAATTTAAAATTTTTTTATAGATAACTTTGAAAAACATTTGTATAAAAATAAAATAAAATTTCAATTAATTGAGCGTATAAAAAAAAATAATACAATTATAAAATGGTTAGACGAATCAATGGCAAACTGTTTAGAGCATAAAATGTTTATCGTTGAACATATTTAAATATGTAAAATATTTAATAAAACAAAAATATTTTCAACAACATCCAAACAGGCAAAAATCTCAAAATTAAAAATATTAACTCATATTTGAATAAAACGTACTGTTTTATTTTATTCATTAATACTGCGTTTTGATCTCTTTTTTTTTTAAATTGTAAATTGTGTTTTATTTTAATCTTAATAATGTTTTGATATCTTTTTAGCTTCGATGCAAAGCGAGAAGGTATTGGTTTTACTCTGATGTATGTTTTTTTTTTATCTGTATACACTGTAACTTCTTTAATACTGGACCAATTCCTTCGAATAGCAACTCTATAAATCGCAATTTTCATCTAGTTGGTACTTTGGGGGGGTAAAAGTTGAAAAAGTTTAACTCTTCACAGGCGTAAGTTGAAAAAACAAAAAAAAAACCGTACGAGTTTTTAAGTTAGAACTTTTACTGGCTATAGCTTCGAGAAAAACAGTCGGATCGAGTTGAAATTTATAAGAAATATTTATTTAGTATGCCCGCGCACGTCAGTTATATCAAATTTGAATTTAACCCAATGCCCACCCCCCTAGGGGGGGTACAGGTTTTTTTGTTTTTCGGGGTTTTTAGCCGTAATTTTAAGACCTTTGGGTTGAAAATTTGCCAGTAGTTGGAACTCATATGTATCCATAACATATTAAACGGAAAAATAATTCGGCACTACAGTTTTTTTTTAATAGCCGGAAAACTGTGTTTTCGCAGATTGCGTATATTTTAACAAAAAACACTTAAAATCTTAAAAAAATTGTTATCAAATCATTAAAACAATTTTATGTAGATCTATGCAGAATGATACTATTGAGTTTTGTGCTCAAGTAACACTTTTGACTTTAAGTTGACACAAAGTTCAATTTTTTTTTTTTTTTACTTAAGTTCTTTCTGGCTGATTAAAATTGAGAACTGATAACAAATTCGTAATCACCGACCCCAAAAACATATAATTTGACCCCTTTTAATGCCTTTTTCACAAAAATCCAGAAAAATGTTTTAGCTTCGATGCAAAGCGAGAAGGTATTGGTTTTACTCTGATGTATGTTTTTTTTTTATCTGTATACACTGTAACTTCTTTAATACTGGACCAATTCCTTCGAATAGCAACTCTATAAATCGCAATTTTCATCTAGTTGATACTTTGGGGGGGTAAAAGTTGAAAAAGTTTAACTCTTCACAGGCGTAAGTTGAAAAAACAAAAAAAAAAACCGTACGAGTTTTTAAGTTAGAACTTTTACTGGCTATAGCTTCGAGAAAAACAGTCGGATCGAGTTGAAATTTATAAGAAATATTTATTTAGTATGCCCGCGCACGTCAGTTATATCAAATTTGAATTTAACCCAATGCCCACCCCCCTAGGGGGGGTACAGGTTTTTTTGTTTTTCGGGGTTTTTAGCCGTAATTTTAAGACCTTTGGGTTGAAAATTTGCCAGTAGTTGGAACTCATATGTATCCATAACATATTAAACGGAAAAATAATTCGGCACTACAGTTTTTTT